GTCTGATGGCCAGAGCAGCCTCTCCCTGGACAAACTCAGTATCTCAGGATCACGGGGACTCACCTTTGTCTGAGGGTGCTTTATTACTTTAGATGGGTCAGTACTTTCACCTAGGACTGTCAGCTTCTGCAGGACCCAGAGTCAGCCTGACTGCACATCTCTGCTCTGATTCATTAGGTACCAGTTTCTTCAGTCTGACTCTCCGTGGGCCCAGCTTGTTTCCCTCATTTCCTCATTCTTAGGGAAATGTTCAATCTTGGTCAGCTCCCACACAGAGACGGCAGAGATAACTGTTCCCAGGAAACTGAAGTTCAGAGTGGAAAGTGAGCTTCGGGGAGTCCAGTGGGGCCTGGCTTTGAGCCTGGGTCTGTCTGGCTCTGAATTAGAGGCTTTCCTACGGAGGTTGTGTGTGCTGGGGGGAGACGGGGAAGCCTGAGTGGAGGACAGAGCCACAGGTGACCTCAAAGCCCTCTCCTGGCCGGGCTGGGGCACAACATCTGGGTGAGAGGTGCAGAGTGGGGGGCCCTGGAGTCCAACAGAATGAGATGCATTCCCAGTTCTGCCCCTTTCTATTTGTCTCCTTGGGCCGGTCTCCAGGCTTCATGGAGCAGTTATGAGGACTCACCCAGGGAGTCTGTGAAATGTGCATGCGGGTAGCTGCTCAGTTCCAGGTGTCTCCCAGGTCCCTGCTCTTTGTTTCTCTGGGCTGTGGTGGGTGCGGTGCAGATTCAGCCAGCAGGGGGCCCTGCTGCCAACGTTGACCCTGCTTCTGGGCCCTGCCTGTGTGCACCCATTCATTCACTCATATCTCTGCCCTCAAAACAAACAGCTCCTGTTAAACCATCTCATCACATCCCACGGTGGGGACCGTGCTATTCCCCTTGGAGCAGGAAGCAGGATGCTCTCCTGGAAGGCCTGCTCAGACTCAGCTTTGCTTTACTTTGGGAAGACTGCCTCGGGTGTTAGTGTCAGAGCCACAGAATTTTCACAAAATGGGTGGGATTCTAGAAAAGTTATCTCCCAGCCTTCAGGAATGAGTCATCGGGGAGAAGCTGGGGGAGGAACGTCTCACTCTCTGACCCACAAAGTCATCTTTCTGGGTTGATCTACAAACTCAGTGGTAGGCAGTGTGGGTTGTATCCAGCTGCACCACTTGTCAGCTAAGTGACCTGACCAATCCCATGCTTCCCTGAGCCTCTATCTCCTTATCTGTCCAATGGTGGTAACAGTAGTCCCTAGCTATTGTGGACTGTTTCCATCATCTGGTCAGCATCCCTCCTTTTCCCTGAAACAGCAGTCTTTCCCTTCTTTAGGATCTTCTCCAAACACGGGTTCAGCCAGGGCAGTCATGGCATCTATGATCCTGTCCCTTGGCTATAGATGGTTGGCCAACAGGTGGACACCTGATTAGAGCTGGGCCAATCAGAAGCCTTCCTTGTTCTGTTCTGTTTTGAATCAAAACTGAGAAGATGGCTGTGAAAATGTGAGAGGCTCAGGAGTCGTCATTGGTCAAATGTCCTACCTCATGGCAGTTAGTCTACAGAGGGAGAGGCAGGGGAGAGAGAGACAGAGTATGTGAGTGAGTCCTGGCAGGATTTGGATCCCTAGTTCTGGCTGTGCCTGGGTCCACTAGCCCTGCTCACAATCTGGAAGTTCACCCCTCCCTTAGATTCCCAGGGTCACCTCACTTGTTGGCACTGGTTTCTAAAGATACACTTTTTCACGGGGCTGTTTGTAGGATCAAATAAGCTAAAGTGTGTGAAGCGCTCAGCCCAAGGCCTGGCCCACTGCAGACTCAGTAGGCATGGATTCCTTTCCCTTAATGGGCACCTGGCAAGGATGGGGTTTGGCAAGATGCCGGGAAGATGTGAAGCATCAGCACTAGTGAAGTGATGTAACTCAGCAGTTCTCGGGGAACGAAAGTCAGGTGCCTCGGGACCCTGCAGAGCTCCATGGGAGACCAGAATGAATGCCCAAGCAGAACATCTGGTGCATAAGAAAGGACGAGACTAAGAAAAAAACTCCTGTCCCAACATTTTGTGGGAGGAAAAGTTGTCTGTGCCAGGGTTGTATGCTGGAGTCCCTGGAGGTCTAGAAGGTGGACACCAGGAAAGGCTTTCCAGAGGAGAGACATTTGAGTTGGGTTTTGAAGGATGAATAAGAGTTTGTCAAACAGGGAAAGGACTTGGAAAAAGACATTGGACGAAACAACCACTATTAGTACAAAGTTGATTAGTATGAGAAGTCAGACAGCCTGGGTTTAATCCTGCCTCAACCAACCTTCAGATTCTTCTATGCTTCTGTTCCTTATCTGCAAAATAAGGAAATAGGGGCTTATTTTTAGTATTAAATGAGATAATATATGTAAAACACTCAGAACAACGTGTTGTCAGAAGGCTGTGGTTAAGTACTAAATAAATGTTTAGCTCATTATGAAAAACATTTACATTATCAAGTCCACCCCCACCTTTAGAAAACTGGAGCTGTTACCATTTATTGAGCCCTTAATAAGCTCCAAGCATGGTGCTAAATGCTTAGCATGCTTTGTCGCTTTTAATCCTCCCAATAACTCCAGGAGGTGAGTACTGTTATCCCCATTAAAGATAGAAAAACAGAGGCTCTGAGAGGTCAAGATTACATAGCCAGTGCGGAACAAGCAGAGTAGACGTTCAAACTTAGGTTTGTCTAAGGACGCCCTTGGCTCAGAGAGAGCAAGGGACTAGCCTCAGGACACAGAGCAGGGTGCTGGGGTGCCAGGATTTCTTTCTGGACCCACTCAAGAGCAGTAATGTGGTTGGAGGTCCTTGGTTTGCCTCTCCCTTTACAACAACATGTTCACTGAGTGTTGGTTCTCATTAAGAGAACCAGGGGTGGCTGACGAGGCAGCCCTCCCCAGCCCCATTCACACGCTCTCCCACTCCACGGCGGACCTTGCGAGCCTGGGGCCCCTGGCCCAGGAACAGAGCTGGGCCGACCCCACTTGGGTCCACAGGGTCAGGCCTCCCAGCAGGGATGGCAGAGCTAAGAGCCTGGAGACCCGGCCGCACCCCTGTTCCCCTCCCTTTCCCAACCCCCATTGCTTCCGCCAAAGGTCCTTGTAGAAAATTCCAGCCGCGCCCCTGGACCGGGGTTTTTCCAGAGGGATGAGAACAGTGGGCGCGTCTGGCAGCCAAAGCCGCAGAGGGGGTAGTAATTGGGCAGCCCCCGTCACCCCTGCTCAGGACTCCCCTCCCTTCGTTGTCCCCAGGGCCCCGGGCCAGCCTTGGCTCCTTGGGGACAGGCGGGCCAGCCAGGGGAGCCGGCTCGGGACGTCCTAGCAAACAGGAAATTAAACAAAGGCAGCGGCTTATCGGTCACCCCGCATTCCTTTCAGGTGATGCCCAAGCAGCCCGGGCGACATGGCTGGCCCTGAGGGGCTGCCTGCCAGGGGACAGACCTCCCTGCTGCCTCTGCTCAGCGACTCTGGCTCCCCTGCCTTCCTGTTCAGCTAGGGGTGGGGGCAAGGAGGATTCCTGCCATGGGAGGCCCCATCACCAGGCACAGCCTTGCTGAGCTCCTGGAAAGGCAGGGCTTCACACTGACCTCGGTGCCTAGAGGGGTGGGCTGAGGAGGGAGTCTTGAGAAGGGAATGGGGCGGGGAAAGAATGGGTTATATTCATTCAACCACTCCACAAACTGTAACACCACCTTATCCAGTGTACAGGTGTGGGTACCAGGACTCATCAATGAACCAGACCCAGTCGCTGCCCTCAAGGAACTTCCAGCATAAGAAGGATACGTGAAATACTGGTGAAAGGGCAAGATGCAGATGAGCTCAGAGAGGGGGTGTCTAAGCCATGCTAAGTGGGGTTGCGGTGGTTTGGGGACTCATGGGTCCCTTGCACGGCACCTGGCACATCAGTTACTCTCCACCAGTACTGTCTGATTGAAGAAACCCTGGAGTTGGCTTTGAAACAGCAGTGGGACAGAGGAGGGGGTGGAACGGAAGGGCATCTGGACTGAGAGCGGCATGTGCAAATGCCCAGTGGTCTGCGTGTGTACTGGATATTAGCGAGCAGTGAGGACTCTGGAGTCGCCTGGGCACTGGGTGAAGAAGCTGGTGAGGAGGCTGGTGGGGTGGGTCCTGATGGCCTTGAATGCCAGGCCGAGGCCTGGACTTAATTCTCCAGGCACTGGGAGCATGGGGAGGTAGGGGAGGGAGAGGGCTCAGAGAGGCAGGCCCAGCCTGGCCTAGGGATAGGGGAAGCAGGGGGGTCCCCTTTGCCTGGGTGGCTTGGAGAGGCTGATCTGCAGAGACAGAGGCTCCAGCTTCTGTGGGGCTGTGCCCCCCTTGTCTGCTGGGCACTGGCACCAGTTCTGCTGATTGGTGGGTTGGATTCCCCTGCCTCAGGCGGCGCTGACTCAGCGTCCGAGAAGTGGTTCCCACGGGCCCACGACTCTCTAGGGGCCGAAGGCCACGCCATCCATGCCCCACCTCCAAGTGGGTCAGTGTCCAGGGCCACTGACAATTAGGGCTGAATGGAGGCTAAGATTTCTGGTCCATCCCACCCCCCACCCCCACCAACCAGCATGGCCTTAGGCAGTCCTTTCTGCTGTCTAACCATATGCCACCCAAACGCTGGCCTGGCTCTCCACGCCCAGAAGTTCCAAGATACATAGTTATCAATACTTTGTTTTTATTTTAAAACACTGAAAAGAAAAATAAATATCTTTGAGAAATAAGAGTACAAGGGTGGGGTGGAGTGGTGGGGCCGGAGAAGGGGGTGTCAGCTTCGGTGGTCTTGCTCCTTCCCGGCCAGGCCCTGTCCGGCCCCCGCTGGGAGGTCTGGGGGCTCCGCCAGCCTCGCCTGTCCGAGGCTCCCAAGCCGGGCGCTGCATCAGCGGAACCCTCGCGCGCGAGGATTAGGCCCCTGAGGCCCGGAGCTCCGGAGCTCCGTAGGGCGGGCGGGGCGGGGGCTGCTGACCCACAGAGGGCGCTTCCCGGCGTGGTGCCCTCGGCCTCAGTGGTGACCCATGTCCTCCATTCCCACGCGGCCCCAGACGCCCAGCACAAAGCTCTCGATGTCGCACTCGTTGGCGCCGCGCACGATGCGGAAGTGGCCCCTCTCTCCCCAGGCTGGGCCCCACGAGTTGGCCGCCGTCTGGGAATGAGGAGGCGCCGTGAGGAGGGGAATCCGAGTGGGGGAAGAGGACAGGAGGCCCGGGGGAAGGTGACAGCGGCCGCAGGGCACGCGGCGCAGGGACTCACCCAGTACTTGAGCGTCCTTCCGTCGGGCAGCGTCTCCTCACCCCACCTGCGGGGCAGAGCCAGAGGGGGAAGGGCGCTGATTCACCTGCTTTCAGGAGCTCCCGCCCGCGGCGGCCTTCCCTGCCCAGGCCCCTGTTGCCATTGGTGACTTGGGTGCACCCTCAGGACTTAGGCAGCTCTCTGTCCCTCTCTGCACCTCCCTTCAGTCTCCACATCTCTAATTCTGTGCACCTGTGACCGGTGTGGGGACGGTCCCCAAAGGGACAACTGGAGGGGGAAGCGGAAGAGGAGGGAAACTGGGCCTCCACCGTCCAGGGATCCACATCCCAGCGACCAGTTCTCTGGGACCTCACACGTCTGCCTGCCCTCCCTCCTCACCTGGCGGGGGATGGGGGGCAGGGCGCGGGGTGTGTGTGCAAAGTACATTTCATTGGTTGGACTATTGAAATCAGTGACTCTAGCATTGCCTCTTATATCAGCTGGGGAAACTGAGGGCTGGGGGAGTGAGTCAGGCAGAGCTGGGACAGGTGCTGAGCTGGGGAGAGGTTGAGCAACTCTTGAATCCTTGTCTGTATTTCATTTGGAGTTAGTTTTCCCAGTGTGTAAGGAAGGAAGAGTTCTAGAACACCTTAAAAGGCCCCTAACTCTTGGTGTGACCCAGGGCAAGTACCTCCTCTTTCTGAGTCTCGGTTTCCTCCCCTATGAAATGGAGCTTTGCAGAGAGGTGGTGAGGACTCAAGGCAGACTCAGAGGCCCCAGTGCAAGCCCTGCTGCCGCCAACCCCCCTGCCCACCAAGCCCCTCACCCTGTGATCTTGACCGAATGGGTCCCATGATGGCGGTATTGCTCCGGCCTCCCAAGGCTCGCTGGTGTATGGCTGTAGATGCCGCTCTGGTACAGGAAGAAGTCCTCGTGCACCTCCATGAGGGCTGTGGGCAGAGGTCAAAATGGGGCTGGCTCAGCCCATCAGCACAGGCACTGACACCCAAGCCCGGAGATGCATGCCCAGGCCCCAGGGCCTCTGGTACCAAGACTCTAAGTGCCCCCTCCAGGTGCTGCTCCTGGGGAAGGGACATGGTCCCCTGACTCCTGGCCCCAATGGACTTGCTGCTCAATGCTGTACGGAGCACCTGTGCCTCTGTGCTCAGTCTCAAGCAGGCACAAGCTTCTGGAATCAGAGGGCAGGATGAGGGGCATTTACCTTGGACAGGGCCATTCTCCATCAGCTCCTTCATGATCTCCTTCTCCTGGAGGGTGAGGGGGTGGGGGGGAGAGTGTCCATCAGGCGCGAGGCTCAAGCCTTTGGCCAACCTTCCAGCTCTCCTGCCTTTGCCCCCTCACCCAAGTGCAGACTTACGTTGGAGCCGAGGCGGTAGGCAGGAGTGACCTGGTAGATGTCATTGGCATGGACATAGCTATTGGGGCAGCGGGCGGTGGCCTGCCGTTTGCCCCGACCCATGGCCCGACTGTGCATCATGCAGCGGGGTGCGGAGCCAGCCTCGTCCCACCCATGGCCCGAGAACGGGTAGCAGTGGTCAGACACAACCCTGCAGGGGCAGCAGGAGGGAGCGGGGACAGAGTGGGCATGGGGCAGCCTGGCCCAGGCCCTTCCTGCAGGCTTTCCCTTCCTAAGACCCCTGCCTCATGCCCTCTTCCCTACCCCCTTGCTGCTCACCCTCGACGGCGCAGGAACCACCAGGCACCGTCAAGTCGCCCACCGCGGCAACCCTGCTGGTTGTGCGTGTCACAAGACAGCAGGTTCTGGGGTGACAGGACAGGTGTCATGTGCCCCAGAGAATGGATTGAGACTCGATCAGATGCCACGGCTGGTGGGAGGGGAGGCAGAGGGGCTGTCAGGGGGCTCAGGCCTTTGCCCTCCTTTCCCACCTGTCCAGCCCCTGCCCTTGAACGTACCTGCCGTGGAGAAGGCCCAGGAGCCTGCACAGTTGCCCTGGTCAAGAGGGTCATGGATCAGGTTGGGCCACTTCTCAGAGGCCTCGAAGGCTCTGGGCAGCACCTCCCCTGGGCCCAGCACTGTCTGCAAGGAAAAGTTCACTCTGTCTGCCTCCTGCCTCTGCCCCAGACTGCCCCTCAGGGGCCCTAGGCATTGGAGGTCTCCCAAGAGTCCAGGGCCTTGGTGCTTTGTGACCACCTAGAGGGGTGGGATAGGGAGGGAGGGAGGGAGACGCAAGAGGGAAGAGATATGGGGACATATGTATATGCATAGCTGATTCACTTTGTTATACAGCAGAAACTAGCACACCGCTGTAAAGCAATTATACTCCAATAAAGATGGTTAAAAAAAAAAAAAAAAAGCGTCCAGGGCCTTCTGCAGTATACTCTTGAGCCCTCTGTTGCTGAGAGAGTCCAGCAACCGCCACGGTGACCCAGAGGAAGACCCAGGCATTTAGTGCCTCTCTAGTGTCAGGTGGGGGGTGACTAGTCCTGTTTTACAGGTGAGGCAATTGAAGCCAGGAACAGGGAAGTGGTCGGGCCACCTTCCATCCTCAACCCCTGCCTCTTCCCTCCTCGTACCTTTTTATCTGCTACATCCTTCTTCCCACCAGGACCCTGGGCTTCAGGCCGCAGAGGGCGGGGGAGGGAAGGAGCGGTAAGGCCCCGTGACCGGGCAGGCTGCCAAGGCAAACAGCAGGAGGCAGAAAATAGCCAGAGGCCCAGGGGAGTAAGGCCAGGGGCAGGGTCTGGTCACCTCAGCCTTGAGCTGAGCTCCCTCTGCAGGGAGGGCCGCTCTGGCCAGTCACTGCCTCCTCCCTGGCGGCCACTGATGGAAGGAGCCTCCGGCATGTGTCCCACTGAAGCTCCCTTCCTCGCCCTTTGACTGCTCTGGTCTGGTTCTCACTTCTCCCTCTGGTGGGTCCCACTGGGGAAGGGTGAAAGCCCCTCCTCCCTGGGGGTTCTGCTGAGATGGCGTTTGTTTCCGAGAATTGCTGCTCTCTGGCCAAAGCTGGAGGAGTGTCTGTCCCTCCCTTCCCAAAATACCAAGGTGACCTCCTGGCCCTTAGGGCCCTAACCCAGCCATACTGGGACCAATGACATTTTTCCCAAGCCGGAGAGGCCAGAGAAGCTAGGGAGGGTCAGATGCTGGGACCACAAAACTGAGAATCTGAGCATCAGTTCTTGCAGTGCAGTATATCTTGTTATAGGCAGAAACCTAAGGCCCAGAGAAGGGGAGTCCCTTGTCCAGGGATACACAGCCTACTGGTGGGGGACAGGCCTAGGCCCTTGGAGAAGCAGGGCACAGGGTGCCAGGGTCTCTGGGGTCGTAGGCCAAGAGGAGGTGGCAGGATTGTGGGCAGGGATGGACTTACATGAATCTCATTCATATTGGTGACGGAGGAAGACGGGCGGATGGTGCCCAGGCGGTAGCGAATGCCCTCATCCAGGGTCATGCCCCAGAAGGCACTGTGGTTCCCAGCCCGCCACCTGAAAGAGAGGGGATGGAGGTCACAGACCGGCCAAGGCTGGGGGTCCTGGAGGTATGCGCACGTGGGTGGGAGAGATGCCTACCAGCTAAATGTACACATGAATAAGATCTGAGTGTGGGTGTGCCTGGCAGGACATGCAAGTCGGGCAGAACATACGTGTGTATGTGTGTGCACGTGCATGTGTGCCCACTCGGGGCATTTTTAGGGCCTCTCACCCATAGTTGCCTTGGTTGATGGCCTTGATCATGTTTTCGTCCACCAGGCATGGCTCCTGGTCACACTCCCACTGCCCTTTCTCCTGGCAGGTGCTGGAAAAACAGGAGGGAAGGAAGAGGTGAGGTGGTGCTGGGCATCCTTGGAAGGGAGGAGGCCTCAGAGGTCAACATGGGCCTGAAATTCTGCATCAGCACCTATGAGGGGACCGCCAGATGATCCCATCCAGCCTGGTGGCTTTAAATGTCAATTTCAAATTTATGATTCTCAAGTTTATATCTGCTTCTCAGATCTCTCCCTAAACTCCAGATTCAAGGATCGTACTGCTACACCACATCACCTCCTGGGCGTCTAACAGGTCACACTCACCACATCCCAAACCAAATTCCTGTTCTCCCCTTACTCCCAGGCCTGCGCCTGCCGCAGTCCTCAAAAATGGCACTCCATCTTCTCCTGGATTGCAGGCCGAAAGCCCGGGAGGCACCCTCGACCCTCTCTCACTTGCTAACCCGATTCACTGGCAAATCGTGTTGACTCTACCTTAAAAACACATCCAGAATCCAAACCACGTCTCATTCTTTTCCGCAGCCACCATGGTCCAATCACCGTTCACTTGGATTCTACTGTAGCCTCCTCACTGTTCTCCCCATTCTGCCCTGTGCCCCCCTCCCCCGCTTCGGTATATTTTTAACACAGCTGCCCAAGCGATCCTGCTAAACCCAAATCATATCATGCCATGCCCCTGCCCAAAACCTGCCACTGGCTTCACATCAAGAATAAGAGCCAAAGTCCTTCCAGCGCCAACAAGGCCCTGCACGATCTGTCCTCCTGTCCCCTCTCTGACCCCCCTCGTCCCCTCCCTGGTTCCTGAGGTCTCAGCCAGGCTGGTCCTGACTGTTGACACCAGCCGTGCTCCTGCCCCCGGGCCTTTGCGTTGCTCTTCCTCCAACATCTTCATGGCCCCTCACTTCTTCTAAGTCCTTATTCAAATGTCACTTTCTCAGGGCGGCCTGCCCTGGCTACCCTATCTCAGCATCCTCCACCCTTCCTACCCTGCTTCCCTGTTTTCTTTTCTCCTCAGCCTGTCATCACTACCTGACGTATTATATCTCCAGTTATTTATATTGTCTATACCTCTTTCTTCACAGAATCTAAGGTCCTTGAGGGCACGTATTGTTTGATACCTTCAGTACCTAAAAACAAAACCTAGCACATAGTAGCCACCCAATAGATATTTGTGGAATGAATGAATGAATGAATGGGGCAGTACAGTGAAGTGATTAAGAGCATGGATTCTGAATTGAATCCAGGGTTCAGAGTCTAGCTGACTAGTCATGTGACCTTAGGTAAGTTATTTTAAACTCTCCCTCAATGTTGTCTGTAAAATGAGGATAATAATAGTACCACCTTCCAGGGATTAAAAGGCAAGCTTGCAAAGTACTCAGCCCAGGGCCTGGCCCATGTGATGTGCTCAAGAATTGTTATCTTCCATGATTGTTCTCATTACAGGAACCCCAACTCCCCACCCCCTTGAGTTTCAGACTCATATCCAGCTGGCCTCCTGACAGCTCCTCTGGGTGTGTGAAAGGCATCTCAGAATGGCCAAACTATCTTCCCCCAAACCTGTTCCTCCCTTAACATCCTCAACTCAGAAAACGGCACCTTATCTACCCAACTGTTCAAGCCAGAACTCCATGTGGTCCGTGGTGTCTCCCCTACCGCCTGCCCCTCACCCATACCCACCTACCACCAGCCTGCCCTATCAACCGGTCATGAAAGACTCCGAATCCACCTGCCTTTCACCCCTCCACCACCACCACCCTACTCCGGCCCCTTATCCCCTCTCACCTGGACCCCGGCAGTGGCTTCCTAACCGGGATCCCTGCTTTGTTGTGATTCCCTCCGCCCAATACACACACCCCTCTCTTAAAGCCAGAGAGATCTTTGAACAACACAAATCAGACTGTGTGCTCCCCAAGTGGCTGTGCACGACACTTAGAGCAAAATGCAAAATCCTTGGCACAGCTTATGAGACCCACGGGACACGGTCTGCCCCTCCTCGGGGCCTCTCTCCCCATTTCACAGCTCCAGCTGCAATGAGCTCGGTCCCACCTCCTGGCCGTTCCACAAGCCATTTCCCCCCATGTTCCCTCCTTCTGGGCCTGGGCTACTCATGCTCTCATCTCCCTGGTATCTGCATAAATATCCCTTCCTGAGTAGCCTTCCCTCGCCCCCACCCCACTCTAAACTAGGGTCCCCCAATAACCTCCTTTCCCCCCATCACACCTGTAAGGTTGTAATGACAGGTTTATTATTTGTGTCATCATTAGACTAGAGGCTCCAGTGCAGGGACAAGGACTGTCTGCCACATTCTGGCTGCATCTCCTTGGCCCAGCACAGCACCTGGCACATAGTAGGTCTCTAATAGGTGTCGACTGAACAGTTGAATTCTATGAATTCTATAGTGTTTTTATAAGCTCATAACTGTGCTATGACAAGATGCTAGACTGCATCCTTTCAAGCCCGCCCAAGGCTCCCGCCTCCCTTGTTGCCTTTTAAGGAGCCTCAAGGGGACGAAGACCCAGTATGGCTGGGATCTCCAGCCCCAGGAGCTGCGGGGGCACTTTCAGGGAGGCTTTCGTCCTTCCCTTCCCCCTCTGACTCTCGAAAGCATCCTCGAGGGCTCACAGAGACTGGGAGGCCCACAGACACTGTCCCACACCCTCCCTCAGGTGTCAAGTGCAGAGAACACAGCCAGAACTGGCCTGGGAGGGCAGTGGTTTGGTCAGTCCTTTCCTGCCACCTCCCTCTTTGCCCCCCAGGGCTGTCTAAGCAGGTCTAGGCAGGACTGGCGGCAGCAGGTCCCAGCATTCCAGAGGGGGCCTGGGTGGCCAGGCCCTAGGGAAGGGACCGAGAGAGAGTGTTAACCCCTCCATGTCCAGAGGCATCCTATCAGTAACAGCAGAATCATGCAAGCATGCTCCATCTTTAGAAACACACACACAGGTCACACACACTCAAAGCATGCACACACACACATGCTCTGTCACCCAGACACACGCTAAAATGCACAAGTCCCCACTCTCACTGTGACCCAGGCACCCCTCACGCCAGTGAGGCAATGGAAACAGCTTATGCGTAATGCATTCCAAAAAGTTTCCTCCTCCCTGGGGCCCTCTCAGTCCCAGGGCATGGGGTGGAGTGGGTGCAGGGCCTCCTCCTCTAAGTCTTAGGGTCCCCATTATTTCCATTAAGGCATTCAAGGCTTCGCACCTCCCATCTCAGGCCTCAGATTAGGGTAGAGGGGCACCCCAACCCCTTCATCCTCCTACTGGGAATGGTGGGGAGGGTTGGGGGAGGAGGAGGGGCCACATTCCAGGGAAGGCCCTGCTACAGTCTGGCTGGCTGCCAGCTCAGCCATCCCTGACCCTCATCCGGTCCAGGGCAACGGATGCTGCAGTCAGAGGTTTCCTTCCTGGCGCCCCCTTCTTGGACTCTCCTGTGACAGGGAGAAAGGTTGGGAGGGGCGGTAGCCTAGCCCCAGGCAGGAGGAGCTGCACCTGGAGCTGGGCATCCATGGTTGACTGCTCCTGGGGACTGCTGTTGGAATGCTGGTACAGAAGTTGACATGGTCCGTGTAAAAATTCCCGTGTTACAGATGAAGAAACTGAGGCTCAGAAGAGGGAAAGGCCTTGCCCCCAGCAAGTGAGTGACAGGGATAGGGTTTGAATCAAGTCTATTCCACAAAGCCCACAAGGCAAGCCCCCAACACTCACCAGCGGTTACAGTTGTCCCAGTAGGTTCCCAGGACTGGATAGATGCGACCCCTGTGCGTACATCCTGGTGGGAGGAAAGTCAGACAGAGACGTGGAGCCAAGACCAGAGACGACGGGTTGAGATGGCCAGGTCCTCAGAGGTCAGGTGTCCCGAACCCTCCCAAACACACACACTCACACACACCTGCCCTCACTGAAACTAAAGCCAAGCTATAACTTAAGACATCTCCTACAGGGTCACACACCAACTGCTACTTGGGAAGTTCTTCAGTGACTCCGACCCGGATCCCTCTTGCTTCTCTTGGACGCCAGCCACAACATTCCTTAGATCCTATGCCATTTAAATGAGTTGGGGTTTGGAGATGGGGAGTGGGAGGGGTATGGGGAAGCCAAAGCCCAGAGAAGGTGACTCCCCTAAGATGACACAGCACTTTGGGGTGACAACCCAGGTATGCAGTCTCACACCCGCAGCCCCATGGAATTGTGGGAAAGAATTCAAGTGACTCTCCTCTTGCATAAGGGCGCGTCGATGGTGGTGAGAGCTGAGAGCAGGAACAGACTTAACCCACCTCCCAGGTGTGACCAGCCATCTCAGGGGTAGAGAATCCTGAGCAAAGGCAGAGGAATTGTTAAGATGACGCTGACCAACCCCTGTGTGCTTTATCAGTCTAAGGGTGAGTCAGCAGGTGTTGCCAGCACCTTCTAAGTCCAGAATATGGAGACAGGCAGGACTGGGAGAAAGGGCAGGAGGCTGCCCTTCTCCTGGGACTACTTAAAACCCCACAGACCGAGGCTCTTCTTTTTCCAGAGAGATACAAGTTAGACCAGAGTGGGGACTTCCCAGAAGCGCAGAGAGAGGGGCAGGGTCTCTTTTCCAGATTCTACAAAGCCTCCCCCTGGAAATGTCAATACGTCAGCCTTGCTCCTGAGCCTTGCTGAGTTTGGGCTTGACAAAGCGACCCACCCCTGGCCGTCTGGTGCCCACCTTGAATGGGGGGAAAGGGGGGTGGCACGCCGAGGCAGAAGTCCCAGAAGTCAGGGCAGCAGTCGGAGACGGTGCGGTTGCAGAAGAGGTCACAGTAACAGGTAGCACCCAGGTAGGGCAGGGCGCAGTCATCGGCGCGGCCGCGGCAGCACAGGTCCTGCTCCTGGCAGTACCGGCCACCCGCATCCCGGATGCCCCGCAGGTGGAGAGCCGGTGCTAGCTCCCGGCGCCCACGACCCCGCTGGGCACCCAGGGCCAACTCGCCAGCCAGCAGCAGCAGCAACCCCAGTGGACATCGCCACATGGTGCCTCCTGGGCCCAGGGAGGGCAGAATTCAGGGGTCAGAAGTGGTGGGCAACAGAGATTCCCTGGCACCCCAGGGACTGATCTCCCAGCTTCCCGGGGCTGTGAGTCCAAGGGGTTCCGGCAGGGACCCTGATTCCTGTGTCCCCAGGCAGGACAGGGGCGAGGAGCCACAGTTTACATGCCCTGGCTTACCGGGGGAAGGGGCTTAGGCAAGAAATGGAGCCCCTCCCTGACCTGCCGGGGGACCTTCAAGGACAGGAGGTGGGGATGGTGGCATTCTTGGTGCTCCCCACTCAACACCCATGCTTCGCACCCGGGGTCTCCTCCTGTTCTGGATCCCTGTGCTTCCCTCAGCCTCCGTCCTTGATGGGGGTCCCTGACTTTGTGCCCACGTGTGTCCCTCTCTCTGTGCCCCTCTGCCCCCCTCCACTCTCCCTCTCTGCCACCTGTCTTGGTCCCTCCACCTGGCCCCTCATGCTCTCTGTTCCTTCTGTCTACACCGTCTCCCCTCTGAGCAGGGGAGCGTCCCTACCTGGTGAGGGGTGTGGGCTGAGCCCGGCTGCCCTACTCGCCTCCGCCTTCCCGCTCCTGCGACCGCCGGACACTCAAAGTCAAGTGAGGAACGCGGGGCGGGATCGCTTTTTGTACCGCCCCGCCCTGCGCGCCGCCCCGGCCCCGGCGGCGGGAGGGGGGGGCCCCGGCTCTTTTGCACCTGGAATAGGCCCGCCGTAACTCCGAAATTGGGACTAGTGAGAGGGACCGTGAGCACGTGACTGACCTTGTTGGGTCTCCGGTGGAAGCCGTTCCCTTAGGGGCGGAACTCCAACCGAAGCAGAAACAACTGTGGTGTGACACTGCTAAGAACTGCCCAGTGGGCTTCGCCGTGGGGCTGAGGGGCTCGCGCGGACAAGGGAAGGTAGGGGGCAGCGGAGCTCCGAGTTTGGGACCTGAGTTTGGGAAATGATGGGAGAGTGTGGGCGGCAAAAATCTCTAAGACCCCCGTGACCCCTCAGTAATAAAGACAGCCATGCACACCCCTCTTCACAGTGCCCCCCCCCCCCGGCTTGGAGCCCCCCCAACCCCCCCCCGTTCCCAGGAATGACTGGAATCTGGAGGAGGATGACTTAGGACCCTTGGGCTGCTCATCCTCCCGAGGGGGCGGGGTGGGTGTGGGGTGGGAGCTGCCTCCCTGCCCTGAGACCCCTCTTTGCGTCCGCCCTCCCCACTCAGTTCCGGCGCCTCGCCAAACACTGCTGGCTCTATCAACCCCTCCAGGGGGCATCGTGCTCGGCACCTGTCCCCCATCCAGGGTCCAAAGGCAGAGCCCTGCCAGCTGGTGCCCCCTGCAGAGCCCCCCCTTCCTGCCCTGGTTATAAACCCTGCCTTTGCCCAGGCTGGCCTGGGCCCCAAACAATGGGGCTTCTGTCCCGCCAGGCCTGCCCATCACCTTTTACCTTCCCATCGCGCAGTCCCCTCTCTTTCAACAGTTTGGGTCTGGGCCAGAGGATTCTAACAGCGGGAGGATGAAAGAGACTCCACCTGGACCGATCCCCCCATCCCTGGCCTGAGCCTCACAGCCGCCTCTAGGTGAGGGAAGCTTCAAGTATTGGGGATTCCCTTTGCCCTCTCTCTGACCTCTCTGCACCCCTCCCCCAGCCTTGGGGCATCCTCAGCTGGCCAGCCCCAGGGGGAGGGGAGGGACCAGGACAATGGGCATCTGTGACTGGGTTGACTGGGTTACCCCCTGCCAGGGGGTACTGGGCAGGGAGTCAACGAGGGAATCCTGCCCTGGATGCATGTGCGGAGGACGGAGGAGTAATGTCCTGGATCCCCAGCGTTGGTGGGAACACTCACAGGAGCTGGCCATCTGCTCCCTGCGGGGACCCTGGAGGACAGAGCCTAGATGAGACACTTGAGGCTCAGAAGGACAGAGCTGCCCAAGGGCACACAGCCAGGAGGCAAGCTCCCTACCTACCACCACTCCACTCTTTTACCCCATCACCCTTAGTCACCCACTGCAGGTCTCAACACCCTCCTGGTCGGGAAGTCCCTTTCCATGTCTAACCTCCATTCATCTTACTGCAAGGTGGGCCCCTCGTATTGGGAAGGAGATGGAGGCTGCCTTCAGAAGAGTTCATGCCCAGAGGACCCACTTTCATGAGTCAGTTTCAGCGTGGTTCTGCGGCTTGGGGCTGGCCCAAATCACCCCTGTAGGCCACCCATGTTGTCAGTGTTGTACGTGTATCTGAATCTGTGAGGTGTTTCTGCTTGAGTGTGTCTGAGTCTGCTTGTCTCTCTGTTACCTGTCTGTTATGTGCCTGCATATCTGTCTGGATGTTGCCTCTGTGTGGTCATGGGCTTGTCTGTCTTGCTCATCAGTGTACTGCTTGCCTGTACTTGTGTGCTTGTTGGCTTGTGTGTCGCTGTGTATAGCTGTGTGACTGTCCCTGTCTGTGTCTGCCTAGCTACTAGGTGTCTGTCTTGCTAGGAGTCTGTGTGTCTGTGTAGCTGTCTGTTCGTGTCTGTTCACGGGTTTTAGCTATCTGCCTGTCCTTGCCTGCCTGTCTGTACATGAATAGGAGACAGGAACACAGAGCAGGG